CCAGTTCCTCTGTGGCATCCTCTCTCTCTCCAGCTCAAAGATCTCTTATATGCTCTATTTGTTTGATATTAATTTATAGTCTTGAATTGTTATATAAATACGTTCATGCTAGAGTTGCATTTTAGATGAGACTTTAATTTGTATGAAAACAGAATCGGTGTCCAGAGTTTAGCCTCTGTTCCCCTCATTACTGCATACCCAATGCTGTACACAATAGATACTTAGGAAATGTTAATTTGTTACTTTATTCTAAAATAAAAAGACATGCTTTATATGAAGTCTTTTGTCATATGATATCTGGTAGTATAGATGCTAAAAATACTAGTAAAATATAAACACACTCTCGTAAGATTTCCACTCTCTACTTATCTGTTATTCTATTAGAAACGTCCCCTCTTCTTCCCACCATTGCCTTTCCTCTTGAAAAACAATAGGTCATTTTTCGTTATAGGAAAAAAAATTCCACTCTGATAAAAGTTCTCTTATTCATAAATCCCTCTCATTTTTCCTCTTTCCTGAATATAACCGTAGGTGCTGGAAGATCTGTTTTGGAGGTTCAAAGAGAAAAGAATCAACAGACCCAAAAGTATATAACAAAAGACGATTTTGTAGTATCCTTCTTTCTTTTTATTGAAAAGGAATCTTTCTATTCTAGCGCAAACAATGTATATTTTACATCATAAAGCAAGATATAATTTACATATTACATTTTTATGAGAACTTTATACCCTAATGTCATTCCCTTTTTTTATTAAGTCACCTCTTTGGGTTTCACTTAACCTGACAAGTACCCTACAAATCAGTATCTCATTTGGGGAGAGTTGGGGCATTGACAGATGTTTAGATGTGTTCATTTGTATCTGGGGATAATGCTTATGTGGAACAGACATAAGCCTTTGTATTTTGGGGTTCTCGGGTCTTTTGCTGACATCCGGCTGAAGAGCCAGAAGTCTTTCTCCAAAGCACATATGAAATGGTATTTTCTCAACATCATTCATTAGAAAAGCAAAACTGAGTGCTTGTAGCATGTGCGTTGTTCTTGTTTCATAATAGATATTGGTGTTGATTCACCAGGTATGAACATTCCTGTGCCTGACTGGCACAGGTTACTCTGTTGTGTTTCAGTCACCATCTGCCCAGGCATAGAGTAGGACTGCACAGTGTCTCCTAGCATTCAGATTAGAAATTCAGATTTTTCTGTGCACAACTAAAAATGAATGTCAAAATGAGAACTTCAAATGACTTTGTCTCACATGGTGCTCTCTCTCTCTCTCTCTCGCATGTATGTTCTCTTTCTTCAAAGATTCCTCCCTTCTTCAGAAAATGTTCTCATGATTTCTGTTCCCTACCTTTTTTAACTCCCTTAGCTCCAAATTCCCAAAATTCATTAATTTCTTGGATTGCACTTATTTCATAACTCAAAGAATTTTTTTTCTATTAGGATAAACTGTTCCTTGGAAACTTAAATCACTGGCAGCAGCTAGTGGGACAAAAGAATAAGTCAAAGGATTCTTTAGGAAGCAAATAATGTGTGTTCAGCTAGCCCACACTATTGTTCAGTAAGAAATAAACTTAAAAGAGAATGAATTCAGTCAAAGAAAGCAGAAGGCACAAGGTGGGCTTCTTTCTTATTACTGAAAGAAATACAGAACTGATATTTGACATACATTTTCAGGTTGGCTATTGATTGAAAAAAATACCATTAGCTCAATCTGATATGTCAAGGGAAGACACAAATGTGTGCTGAAAGTGCATCATAAACCCAGAATTCTTTGCCTGTCACTCAAAGATGGCACATTTGGCCAAAATCATTCTGTAGCTTTTAATCACTGATAACTAACATTATTAGAATCAAGCTGATCAGGATGAAAATATAAGTCAAAATTATGTTCTGTGTGTCTTATTCTTTGGTCAAATGATGTGTTTTAGAGAGGTCTAGAAAGAGAAACTATTGCCAACTATTTCCAAGTCCGGGTGGTAGCATTACCTTACTAGAAAACAAGGCTTCCAGGTGCTGTATCCTTCGTTCTATTAGCATTGAATGTCTTTCCTCCCATGGCTACAAAGTGCTGGACATACAGAGGATACAGGAAAGAATGAAGAAGCAAATGAATAGAGCCTCACAACACCCCTGTGAGGTAGGTAAGTATTGTTAAACCATTTACAAAAAGGTAAACTGAGGCACCACATGGCAATGTGGTTTGGTCAAGTCCACCCGGTGAGTTACAAAAGCATGACTGAAAACAAAGAAAAGGAAACAAAGAAAGCTCCCAGCCCCAGACACTAAGCTTTACTGCAAAATATGAGAAAATAAAAAGAGCCCACAATTGCTTTACAAGGTTTTGGAATTTAGACAAACCTTTAAGTATTCCACTTAAAATGTGCATCTCTCATAGTCCTGTTGAGTGGAAAAGTCAGGCAACTAAATGGCTTTACCTCCTCTTTCTTGGTGTCATTCCCAGGACAGGGAGGACATATCAGGCTCCAAGTCTAAGGACACTTTTATAGCCTCTAATCATTTATTCTTTATTTAAAACCCTAATGGGAAAATAAGATCTGTTCTCCAACAGCTGCCTAACCACTTCTCTATGGCCTTAATGAGAATTGTGTAGAGAAAGAAAGGATCAAGATCCCTAATTAAAAGTCTCACCACTGGAGAGACAAGGATGGTGGTGATAGTGTGAAATTTCTCTTTGATGTGTTTGAGAAACTGCAAACTCCAGCTTTCAAGAATATTATATATATATATAAAATATATAATATATACAGTATATATATAAGTGTGCATCTGACTACCCTTAAGGCACCAAAGAGACATAGGCCATCCGTTTCACAACCCAGTCTGTTAGAGAAATTTCTTTCTCCCTCTCGTGAGTGAAAAATTTTTCTTCTACTCAATAGCCTGTGAAGCAAATCATTCAAAAATAACAAATATCTTTAACTTAAGATGACTGATTATTTGTATGTAGGCAAGGGGTGATGGAATGCTGATATTATCATCAACAGCTTAAACTTAAATCTGTAATTTAGAACTTAGAATTAGCCAAACACAGCTGATCACACATTGAGTCAGACACACCAGTAACCAGATGTTGTAGACAATGTTGTTGTTTTTTTTCCCCAGTAGCTGACCATAACCAACAGAGATGGAGACAATGAGAATGGGAATCGGGTCTGGCACACACTCTTCAGAAAGACTTTGACTTTTCAAACACTCCTAGAGCTTCTGTACAGAGAACTGGAAAGGGTAGGGTAAGGCACGGAGGTTTCAACCAGTCAATGAGGAGACCACAGGCAATTACTCTGAATCTCTCTCTCCATATATATATATATTTTCTTTGGCAGCTGTAAATGTTTTAAAAAACCCATACAATCATGAGGGTGAGTGGGCTGAACCTAACTGAAAGAAGCTCGGAGTATATAAAGCAAAGCGCATGAATAGAAAGGAAAAACAAAATTAACACACACAGAAACAAGTGGTGGTGATATCCCAGAGGGAGGAGGAATATTTGTTAACTAATTTTCATTTTGCTTCCTCTCCTGCTTTTCTCTGCCATGGTCCCAATATTTTAGTTCTGTTTTTGTTTGGTTTTATTTTGTTTTGTTTTGTTTTGTTTTTTTTCCAGCAGATGAAGAAATGACAGAGCAGGATAGGTTTCATATGGTTTTTGATTTCTTCTTAGGCCTGTTTAATTATTTTTTTCCTCAGTTGACTGTTGGCACCTGGTTCCTCTGTAAACTATATTCCTTGGCCTTCAGTCTCAGGTTGGCAATGCTGTTGGCCATGTTGATGCCCTGTGCAGGGCTATTGTTGGCACATGTGGCAGAATAAGTAGCCATGGCGCTGTAGGGACAAAGGAGAGAGCAGGGAGAATAACAGGCATTAGTTTCACAAAGCTGCAAGTCTGTGCCCCAGATGGATGTAATTCTCAGGATGGGGGCAGCAGGGGTGAGTGATTGGACTAGATGGCCTCTAAGGGTTCCTTACAGCTCAGGTTGCCACTGGTCTAAGACACTTGTAAATGGAGGCCAGCGTTTTGAAGGGCAAGGGACAGCATGGAGATTGGAGCAAGGCCTGGGGAGAGGTATTCGCTGGGTTGACTGTGAGTCATGATTCATTTCTGGGGTGAGAGAAGAAAAATTGTTTATGTTGAATAGCAGGTGTTTCATCTGCTGACCAGATAAATAAAACAAAATAATGTTTTATCTCTCTTCCTGTCTACATCACTAGCCTGTGGAGACAGCAAAGAAGAGAAGTAGGCATTTGAAGAGAAACTAAAAGGCATGTGCCATCCTCATTCTAGGTAGCTGACTCTAATTCTAACACATTTTAGATAATCAATAAATACCATTATAATTCAGTTAGAGAATCAGTTTAACAACCAAAGATAATTTCTCTGCCATTCTTGTTTCACTAGCTGATAGGACTGAGAAGAGTTGGATCAAGAGGCACTCACTCCAGTGTGCCTTGTCTGTTTAACTTCTCTTTAAAATGTACTTGAGAAGCTCACACTGTCTTTTTGTTCCATTGTTTTGGAAATGTTAAATTTCCTGAACAAACTATCAACTGCTTCAGTTTCAGGATTCCTGGTAGCAGAGAACTCTTTCTTATTGTCTTCATTGCTTAACCTAAATTTGCTTTGTTTGTCAGGGATTGTATGTAATTAAGACCTAGGATGAAACTATGTGGACATTTGTAAATGGTGGTTTTCTGCTTGTTGAATTGCTAAATTTCTTTTAAAGGAAAAGATTTGGAGGCTAATTATCCATTACTTTATACTAAGCAGTTAAAAGAGAACTAATTGTATTTAAATTAAAATGCTTCTAGTTGTTTCTAAGATTAACAAAATCCCTTTCAACTTTCCACTGAAGGCAGGAATGAAATAGTTATAAGTGGAATGACATGTGCTGTTCTGTTGCCTGCATTCCAGTGGAATTTTGTCAGCCACACCGGAGTGGTTCTGGGGATCAAGTGAAAAGACCATAAATAGAGAAAACTAAAAATTCACAAATAGGGAGACTACATTATTAATGCTTATTTGGGACACCACCTAGTCAAAATGCACAATAGCCTATTCCACCTTAATTACTATCAATTAATTTGGGAAAATTAGGTTAAAAAATATAATTAGTCCGAATTGCTAAATCTTTCTGGAAACACTTATCCTGATCATTAAATCTTCTTAGTACTTGTATACGTGTGTGTAAGTATATGAGTAAGTGAGTGAGTGTGTGTGTGTGTGTGCGCACGTGTGTGTTTTTTGGCAGAAGGAGGAAGATTCAGGATGGTTCCCCCCCAAATTCAAAGTTCTGTATATTTCATTTTCACCTGCTTCACTCTTACTCATCCTTGGGTAGACCATCTTAACTTTCTCCATGAAGTCGTGTTCTCTTACATACAGCACTTCATATTTTTTCTTCTAAGTACATTTTCAATTCCTTAACTATACATTCTATAGACCAGAGATCACATCTATCTTTGCCTTGATCACTATTGTATTACTAAGTAAAGCTAACACCACCACACCCAGTGCATATTTGGCATTCAAGAAAGAATTTAATGAATAGATAAATAACAGAATATCTAGATGTAGTATGATTAAACTGATTCCTGCTTGATATGTTGTTTTCTGTCATCTTGCTGTAATGATTTTTGAATAATACTTTATTTTTAGGAATTAGTCCTTGTTAATTTTATTTAATGAAACAAACAAAATCTGAAGAAACACAACAAGAGGAGGGGCTGATGACTGCATGCTTCTAAATCTAGCAAAGATATGTTTTAACCAAAAAAAAAAAAAGGAACAAATATTAGTACAGTTTACACTTAGAGAATAAGCTTGTACTTCTATTGCTGTCTACAAAGAGATACAAGCAGAAAAGGAGCCCCAAGTTATAGAAGATTTCAGTTAGGAGTGAAATAAATGAACAGAATAACTCACTAAGGTGGGATGTTATTATTTAAATATACCTAGAAATTTCATTCATTTTTAAATGACAGATGTGATCATTTAATACCCATATGAATTGCATGCTTCCATCAAGACCTTACCAGAAATATATGCAAATCCATAAATCTTACATTCAAGAAATTTCTAGGATGTGCTGAAACCTGAGATTTCAATTATGTCAAAAATCTAAGTTGCTGAGAAAAGAGGTGAGTGGATTTGGGAAACATATGTAGGTTATAGATTGTGAAACTAAGGCAGTTTTTCTGTGACAGAACTAGGTTATAAAGATGGAGGAGTTGGTATTGTAAGTTACTTGTATCTTTTAAGTTATCTTTATTTTTTGCATCATTTTATTAAGGTAAAGCTAGTTTATATCATTGTATCTTTGGGGGCTACAGGTTTAAACTTCTACAAATGTATACTTCCACACCATGCCAAATAATAGTGCCCCAATTAAGAATAAATTAAATGGCCTCTGAAAAACTGGTCTAAACCTTCAAGAATATGAAGAAAAAAATGATCTGATGGCAAATCATAAATTGTCATGAAATATTGTGCTTTTAAGTATTTGATTCTAATTTTTTTTGAGGGATATGGTTTCCAGTTTTTGAGATTCTGGAAAAACAAGAGATCCTTTTGTGATGATCAGAGGTGGGTATGATGCATTTTCTTTAGCAGACAAGGGGACCAGTATCTCGGGGGTTCTATTTGTTTACCGAAGAGTTTGTTGCTATTTTGCTATTTTCTAGAAATGTCTACTATGGCAGCAACTTCTATTTTATCTATTATATAACCATTTTTTCTGTATTTACTCCATATTTTACTAATTCTATCACCTGATACTCTAGTCTGAAGACTCACCTATGATAACACATTTTTTGGAAACACTGAATTTTTTTCTCTGATGCAGGCCAGACATTAACATCCCAGATAAGATGAATGTTGATTCACTTTCCATCTCAAAGCCAAATTAACGGAAGATACAGTTATATTTTACAGAAGAGACTGAAGTTTTCATGAGGGCACTCTCCCTTAAATCACAACCTGTGTTTCCAGAGCTGAGAACAACACTATTGTCCAGCTGTATTGTGATGCTATTATAAAGACACCACTGTATTCATGAAGTTGGGATAATGCCTTGTAACTCATCCTCACATTAATGGTGTATGAAGATAAAAATGCAGGTGGTATTAATAAATGAATTTTGTAATTCCATAGGAGTTTCACACAGGATATAATATCTTCACTGATAAATGCTTGAGAAAATTAAAAACTTAAAAATTGATCTCAATCAAATTATAGAGTCATTCAAACCATGTAGAAGAATCTCTCCTATGTAAGGTTAAGCTGCCTGAGATAAAAAGGTGAGATTTAAACAAAGTGGTTGGTGCAGATGAAGCACATGATAACACCAAATACCTGCTTACCACCAGCATTACATGTTCATAAGAACTAGGACAAAAAGGATAAAAGAAGAGCCTTCATTTCATATCCTTTTAACATACATGTGGGATATACAACCCCATAAGTAGTGGCTAGAATGATAGTCTGCACCTTTATTGAGGATTTTCCATTCTGTTTTCCCTCCCAATGTTTTATGTGGGTCCAGCCTCTACATCTGAGCTAGGAATGCCATATAGGCAAATAGCAAACAGTCCTTTGACACACCACTGGCGAGGAAGACTCGTTACAGGTCAGAAAAAGAGAGAATTAATGAGTGGGTGCTCGAAGAGTGACTTAGTCATGCTTTAAAAATGGTATTAATGAGTAACTTGGAGAGGACCCACTACCTAAAGTGACAACAGATGCGAAACAGCTTTGAGTGGCTGCCAGTCTGAAAGACTGTCCGTGACCACCTGCTTTCTATGTCATCAAAATGTCTAAAGCTCTGTGTTGAGAAAAGATCACACTGAAATGTTTTCTCACAAGTCAGAAGCCAATAAAGGTATTTAGCTGTTCTCGATCAATTTTATAGGGTCATTCAAATCATGTATAAGAATCTCTCTCTCCTATATAGGGTTAAGCTTCCTGGGATAAAAGGTGAAATTGAAACAACATGATTGGTGTGATTAAGCACATGATAACACCAAACACCTGCTTACCAACACCCAGAGATCCTGTCCATCTGTCTTGACTTCTCAGTAAGGACCACTGATTCCTCTAACAGGAAGTAGGCATGAACTGAGAATAGTCGCTGGATTCACAGGGTTTGGTAAAGGCACCACTGTGAGTGTTTAGGAAGGTAAATTTCTTTGTGTCTGGGAATAAGCACACTGCTGAATAAAGACCACTGAGGAGTTAGAGATGAAAAAGACATGTCTGTGTCCCATCTGTTGACTCAGCAAATCTTCACTGGGACTTGCACAGGGCTGACACATTTAAGTGAGCTTGAGATTTTGTCATCTCCTTATTTGGAGATTCCTAACAGATGGAGCTCAGCCATCGAAGCAGAATGTTAGCCACCAGCAGGGTGAGAGTTCTGTTTTCACTAGGGACAAAATATTTTTGCTCATTTTAACCTACCCTGAAAGATTGTGAAGAAGAATGTGTTAAAACAATGGCCAAGGCCAAGCACCAAGGAAGTATAGCTAATACTATACATGGTATGATTTTAAAGTCAGGAAATCTACAGACAACCCCTGCCCTCCTCCCCTGCTTTCTAATCATCCACAGTATAAGCCCCACAAATCACTATAACTTTGGGCTGGAACTGGGAGTGGATGAGGGGAGTAACAGCTGATTAGGTTTTCAACATTAAATTTGTTTATTATTTGGCTCTTTTGGAACAAAGATGACGAACTGTTGAAAATATATCTCCAAAGACAAATCTGTCAAGCCCAAGAAGTCTGTATATCTTTCTGGGATCCTAGGCTTTCACCAGACAGGGATTTCTCCAAAGCTATATAGCTTGAATGCTCATGACTTTGTGATGTGTAGAGATAGGGAGACCATCACTCTGGATTGTTCTTTTGTCCAAGCAAGAATAACGGAAGTATGCCAGCTTCATTTAAGAAAATTCAATATGAGTGTTTCTCTGGAAAGATACTATTTAAGAGAGGTAGAGCGATCCGAGAAATCCTTTGGAAGTGAACTTTTATGATTGAAATCATCCTTTCTATTTTCTGTTTTTAAAATTCACAAGGTATTTTTTTTTTTAATGCGTGTGAACCCTGAAAGTGCACACATTTGACACTCATTGCATTGGTAAGCCTTAGTTTGCACTGCAAACTAGTATGATCTCCTGCTCTTTGAAAACTTTCTTTCAAGAAATATTTTTTTAAAACAAAGGCTTGCATTTGGCTATTGTCTAAAAGGCTTTTGTGTTTCTTATTGAAATGAAACTTGATAACAAATAGATTGCAAATGTCCCACTGAAATAGGCAGTAGGGACACTATTGCTAATGCAACCTTAGATCCAAAGCTACAGAAGAAACTGATGATCCAACTGGACTGATGAGCAACAGGAAGCAGGATAAGAACAAAGTTATTCAGACCTTTGCCCAAAACCCTACGACCATCTAAAGCTTTACTATTCCAAATATATAGCCAGTGTCAGCGGCATCAGCATCACCTGGGAGCATTAGAGACCCAGACGCCAGCCCCTGCCAGGCTTATGAAGTCCTAGCCTGCAATGTAACAAGATCCCAGGTGATTCATATCCACAATAATCTTGGAGGAGTCCTGCTCTCCTATCAGACTACCCTCAACTTTATGGACTCATTTCTGGCAGCTCTGGTGCCTCACTGCTTCCATTTCTAGGACTGCAGGCCCACTTTCTGGAACACACTTAATCCCACTTACACCCTGCCCCCAGCAGCCACCCTTTCCCCCTCTGACAAGTTACCTTTTCAGTGTCTTCCGTTAGAATCCGTTATGAAGCCCCTCGTGTAAACAACATCTTGGGAGGGACGAGGATCTATTTTTGAAAGTGTGAAAGGGAGAAATGAGCCAAATGCGTTCAGCAGATGTCAGGCAGCACCGTGACCACGACCAAATGAGGGGAGGAGGAGATGGAGGGGAGGAAAATTGTGGACAGGGCTGGCTGGCCTCTCTTTCATTTGTCATTAGTTTTCTTGGGAGCCCAGCCCTCCCTCTGGAAATGTGGAAAGAGTGAGACCATTTTCTAGCTCTCTCTACTAGACAAGGATGTCTCTGGGGAAAAGTTTCTTAACTACTTCATCTAAAAGAACAGTCAAAAGTGCAGGACTTGGTTAAACATCACAAACCCAAGTGGCAAAATACCACATGATAAGTGAATTTTAATAAAGCTGGTGCTTGGGTGTGCTTTTTCTTTTGCATAAGGGGCTAAGCGGTGGTATGCATACCAACAGCAAGCATTGTGTAGGTGGCTTCAAGCAGTCAAGAAGATACCTGCCAGCCAGAAGTGTCCTGTGACGGAATGCTTTTCTCCTTCGGGTGACTCCCTCTCTGCCTGACATCATCAACTCTAACATGTTCCTGGTAATGAACAAGGTCATGATGTGCTAAAAATAGATTGAGCTGTATATCCCAGCTTATGCCTGTCCTAATATAATTTTAATAGCACTCCTTTTCACTCTCAAACATGTCCCAGCTTAAATACAAATTAAACCACTACCACTCCAGATATAAAAGACTCCCAGGAATAAATATATTGGCTATTTCCCATCCCATATTTCTGTTCACATGCACACAATTGCTTTGGTCTTGGGTCTTCCTCTCTTTCTAGCACACAGCTATAAAGTCAGCGAACTGACTTTGGTGGCAACACTGTCTGCTCTCTTTCCCTGGGTTGCATGGCCAAGCTATTTCGGTCATCCCAAGGAGATGGGATACCCAGGTAGCCCAGAATTTGGGCCTCAACATCAAGTAAGCTCTTCTGACCTGAGACAGACCCTGAATCAAAACTATACTTACACAATCTGTCAGTCATACCCTTTTCACTACTCTCAATATGACGTAGGGTTTAATTTGAATGGAGATTATGTGCTTAGTATGTTGGACTGAAGCAGGGGTCATGAGCACTGGGTCTAATTCTGCTTGCTGAAGGCTTAAACTTGAGCAAATGTTTAGTTTCTTCTTTGGAACCACAGTAAGGACAGAGCTACCACACAGGAATATTCCAAGGATTAACCAAGCCAAATGCCTTTTAATGAATGTCACATGTGAGATAACTAACTTGACATGATAGTACCAACATAGAGAGTTAATTTTCCATAACACAAACGGGCTATCATTTCCTTCACTTTTCATCACTTGAGCTTCTTTTATATTTTTTCAACAAGACTTATATTTCCTACCAACCTTCAAAACACAAAATGAAAATGTATTTTGGTTCTACAGACAGCAAAAAATCTCCACAGACTAGAATAACTGCCAATTTTAGAAGTTAATCAATATAAACACTTCTATCAACATTGGGTCAAAAACATTACTGATTAAGTAACTGCTTTAAACCATCATCTTTCTGTTTATATCTGCAGATTAATTTATTCTTCAAACAGAATATGAACAATCAGATTCTATGAAATTGCTTTATTATTACAAATCTGTACCTAAGAAATAAATGATATAAAAGTATACTATGAAATGCATAAAAGTCCTAGATTATAGGATTTTAAGTGAAAAGAGCAGATTACAAAATAATATGTACACTACATCTATACTATATAAAATAGTAAACCCTAATTGTAAAAATTAACAAACTAGTTGTTTCCAGATGATGGAATTATCAATATTTTAAGAGATATAGCTCGTCTACATAATCTTTCAAATTAAAGTACAACATTTCCCCAAAAGGCACACACAAATTGTATGTTCATGATTTCACTTAAATGTCCATAGACAAAATATATGTCATGCAGCCACTGAGGCTTGTACTTTGCCAAGATCCAAATACGCTAACCCAAAATGAATTCAGGAAGGATTAATCCCCACTCATACAGTGTCCTGCCCGCAGTCTGTTACTGTTCAGGATCATGTGATAGTCATCTGGATTGTTTAGAGCAGGTGTGAAAAATCCCTAACTAGGACCCAGGCAGAAAAAGAAGTAAGGTTTCCTGCTTGTGTCCAAATGCAAACCAGAGACCTATAAACATCGAAATTTGAACAATATCTATTTCCAAAGCATCTACTCGGCCTGTGAACTTATATTTCTCAGAGAAACAAAGCAGTCTTCATTATATCAAAATTTGAACGAATATGTAATTTCACAAAGGTCTTCAAAATATGTTTTCAGTAACTTCTATGGGAGAAGAGTCTAAGTTTTAACTAGCACACACAGGGTCGTCTTTTCAAAAAAAGGCATTCTATGTCTGAGGGCAATAGAAATTTCCAGTTTCCTATGTATGGAGTCTCTATGAACTAAAACAAAACAATGCAAGTTATTGTCACAATGGAGGGATTTACAAGAAATTTTCAAATGCATTTCTGGGATTTCTTTTAAGGAACAGATGTGTACTAAACAGAAAAATAAAAACATATTGGCGAACACTTTGGCTTTGATAGAGTGATCAGCTTTGAAGATAATTTGTTTTCACAAATGTGCCATTTCACATCAAGAGCCCAGCTTTAGCTGGGAGGAGATCTCAGATTCATTTTAAATTTCTCCTTAAACCATCAATTAGCCTTCACAATAAAGAAGTAAACAAAACATTGTAGATGAATTGGTGAATGTTACTTCCACTACTGAAATCAGCCAACGAGAACACAGAGCCTTGATCTGGTTTCTCAGAGGACTCAGATTTAAGTTCAATGAAAGAGACTTCAGATTGGAAACAACATGGTAGGCACTGTTTCTCAGCTTCCCTCAAGCATTAACTTACATTTTCTGAACAGCACAGTAAATTGAGGTTAAAAACTTGTCCAAGAGATTGAAATAATACTCTGTTATGTGCATCTTTAAAATTTTTCATCTTTCTAATATAAAATTAACTGTAAATTATATATTCTTTTCATATTAAAAAAAAAAAGCCCATATAAACAAGCTGATCTCCAAAGAAACCTTCAGAGTACTAGATAAGAATTAGCAATAGAACAGGAACGTATTTTGAATCACAAGACTTCCCTACCTACTGACAAAGAAATTGATCAAATAATCTTGAGTTTTCCTTCCTTTTCTCCCTCCCTCCCTTCCTTCCTCCCTTCCCCCTTCCTTCCCCCTTCCTTCCTTCCTACCTCCTGCATTCCTTCTTTTCTTTTAGCTCAAAATCAGCTTTACTGTGAAGTTGGCCTTGGGTCCTACACTGAGAGCCCTACAAATGAAATTCCTACTTGAACGTAAAAAAAAATAAAAAAGAAATCTTTCTCAAATTTGGAAATGGAAGAAAGTTTTGTTCCAGAATGGGTGCAAGAGGGACTCTGGGCATAGCTTAATGATCTTTCATTTTAGATTCCTCCCCATCTTTGAAGCCTTTGCAAGTGTTCCTGAGTCCAAGAGGAGCTTGCTGGCAGCCTGCCCCTCTCTCTTCAGCCCCAAACCCTGCTCCTGGGGCAACTAGTAATCTCCTGTGAAAATCGGGAGATGTCAGCAAGTTGAATGTCTCTGAAGAGGTTAACCCAGTGAGAAGTGTCAGCCAGCTGCACAGGCAGCTTTGAGTGTGACCGACCGCTGAGAAACATGTGGAAGTGGAGCAAGGGAGAGTGGGGCCAGTCATTCACCTGTACGGAGACGCCGTCCCCCAGGAGAGATAATCAGTGGGTCTTGGAGCCGGACGAGGTACGATGGGCTGCTCCACAGCAGTCACATCTCCTGAGTAGGATTTGAGGAGGGAAGCGTTTTTATTGGCCAGCATGGCTCTCTCATTCCTGCGGAACTTGGCTCTTCGGTTCTGAAACCACACCTGGAAGGTGGTGGGGAGGCCAGAGGGCATGAGGAGGGGGAGGAAAACAAAGAAGAGGAGTTTACATGAGTGAAGGGCTGGTGGAACTTACTGTACAATAACACCAAGGAAGAATGCAGAGACATACTGAAATGCTTCCAGAACAAGAAGCATGCTGTATCCTTTCCTGGAGGGCTATATTAAAGTTATGAAGTTGAGAACTCTCACAAAAAGACTATGAAGCACTTCCAGTCATTACACCTTCAGGGCACATGGTGGCCCCTTGGGAGCAAGCAGTGGTCGCAGGGTCACTTGAACTCAGGCATTGTCTCCTCTTACTCCACCCTTCCCAAGTTACAAGTAGATTAAGTATTTCCTTGCCTATGAATATTACCACCAGTGTCCCCTCAGCCTATGGCTGTTTTCCCCTCTGTTCATGTGTCAGTAGACGTGTTTTTCAAGATTCAACTTTAACATCGCCTCCTTTGTATACTAGTATCATGGAAAGAACATGATTTTAAAGTCTCACAGAATTGAATTGAAAATACTGCTACTTTAAAGATTTGTCCTTGTATAGTAATTTAATTTCTCTGATTCTTTGTGTCCCAACCAAATGGTGATAATAATATCAACTCATGGAATTTTTATGAGAACTACTACTGAAGGGGTGCTTAATAAATGTGTCTTCTCTCTCTTTTTCTCCAGGCAGACTTGATCATCATGAATTCCTTGGGCCTATCATGAATTCTTGTAGGAATCATTTTACTGTATCATACCATCATGGCACACACATCTGTCTTCTTTTCCCCAGTCTATTACATCTTTAAAGAGTGGGCCAGTGACTTATTCATCCCAAAGCAGGTCTAAGAGTATAACAGGCACCTGATAAATGAGGGGGGAAATTAATTTCTGCAAAGAAGAGTTAGTGACTTCCATCTAAGAGGTTGTCACAGTCTGGTTGGAGAAGTTGGCTCCTGTATAAGTCAGTATGGCACACGTCATGTTATTTTAAATGCCATAAGTATAAAGTAGGCAGGGTCTAGAATGGGGAGGTTTATACTGGGGTAGAGAAGACTTCTTGGAGAAAAAAGAAGTTATGAAGGAAGAATTCTGCTTGGTTTTGCTCGCAGGGAAAATGGTCCCAACTCTGAAAGCTGTGAGAACACATCAAGTGAGAAAGGACGAAGACAAAGCAGTTGCACTTAGAAGAAAAACATTTGCTTATTGTTGTGATGGGGACACAATGACTGCCAGACTCCAAGTGACTTTTTTTTTCTTTTCTTCTATCATTGCCTTGTCCAAATTTCCTTATTTTAGGTCAGATCACCAAAGCAAAAATGAAACTCTCAGGCACTGTGGGTTTTAGCCTAAAAGTACTTATTCATCAGACCACTGTGAACCAACCCTGGGGCATGAAAGATAAGAGGTTTTGAAGGGATGAGGAGGGAATCTGTGGTAGAGATAGGGAGTGTGCTAACAGCACTGTGCTATGGTGATGGCACAGGGAAGGATGGGGAAGAACTGAGTAGTCTGCTTGTGGCAGGATGGAGAGAACAAAGCCAGGTGTGAGCCTCTGTCACCTGAGTCTGGAGGAAATGTCAAGCTCACACTCATAAGTCTCTTCATGGAGACAATTTCTTTTCAGGCTGAAAGAACCTCCAGATCTTCTCCCTCAATTCCACAAGAGTCTCTTACAGTGCTCTGTGTTTCGTGGCATGATAAGTTCCTACCCCCGAGGTCTTTGGGGTTTGGCTCAAGTCCCTGTCAGTCAAGAGGGTTATCATTTGCAGAAAGAAATCCCTGATGGGGTTAAACACTGATATACAAATGACGATTTCTTCAGCAAGGCAAGACACCCCCATCAAAGCAGCAGTATGTCACTGACTGTATGGAAAACAATAAAATCGTGACTTGGAACAAAGATAGCAAAACAGTGTTTGAAATGCATTTAGTCAGGACACTTATTTATTCAGAGTCCTTCATCTTGAATTTCCATATCTGTGTTCAAATCCTAGTTCAGCCACTTCCTGACTACTTGATGTGGATCAAGTTACTTTAAACTCCATTTGGATCACTTTCCTCATCTGCAAGATAAGAATATGATCCACTTATTGAATTGGTGGGGAATGAGTAAGTTCAAATTAAATGTTGACCTTAAGTTGGCCGTTCAAAGGTTCAGCAGGACAATGTTTAACATTAATATAGAAGGGCAGAAAGCAGTGAGGAGGAGTAAGACCTGTAGCAGGGAAAGTCTATCTACAAATAAAGCCCCAATTTAATTTTAAAAAATACTATGCTGCCTGAAGAATCATAGATATGAATTCTGATCTCATGCTGCCCATTTGTAACAACTAGTAGTCTGACCTCCAGCCTGTAACAATTAGCTTTTAGTCTTCAGAGGTAAAGAGAGGAATACTTCAGTTACCTGCACCCTGGCTTCAGTGAGGTTCACCCGACGGGCGAGGTCTTCTCGCACAAAAGCATCCGGATAGTGTGTCCTCTCAAAGACACGCTCCAAAGCCTGCAGCTGGCTGCTATTGAAGGTTGTCCTGTTCCTCCGCTGCTTTCGCTTCTTCTTTTCCTCTGAGTTCAATTGATCATCTGGCAAAGAAGTAATTAATGACAAGGAGTCAACGTCACTTTGGGGGAGGGGATCCCAGGTATTAATAGCTACAGTAAATTACCCTTTCATTCGCTTATTTCCTTAGCAAGGAGCAGCACTAATGTCACCTTCAGTGTGTAAATGTGGGCTCAGGTCCTCACAAGAACCCCCAGCAATTCTGAAGCTAAATCTGGGGCCAGACCTGATATTTTAGAGGAACATTTCTTGTGTTGAAGACTGTTTTGTCAGGGGGCTGACAAATCCCACTCCTGCCCCAGTTCTCTAGACATGTGAGAAGAATAGCTTAATTGGGACCTTATTTACCTCAGATGATAATATATTCAATTCATATAGTTTTATAACCACAGAGAGCAACTATGCCCCTGGTTCCTTCTCTTCAATGTACTCACGTGAACCAGACACATTTAGAGGACAAACTATTAGAAAAGAATTAGAGGGAGTTCTGTTCTACCAGGCACCCTCTTGCATTTATTTTCTAAAGACTGCTTGCTGCTGCCAACCCAGGCTTCAGGTATCTCTGTCTAGATTAGGGTTAGTACAACAGCTCTGTCATTACAGGACTCAACCTACAGGAACTCAAGAATGGGAAACAATCCTGGAAAGCCTGTGAAACAGTTTCACCCACAAATGAGTTCTAGGACCATGAGGTCTTAGGACTTTTGGAGAATCATGACTCCAGGTCTTCACCTGTCAAGTTCCTTAGTTTTTCTCTGGGTCCCCTCAAAGGCACCTTGGTAAGCTGATCATCCAACCTACTGTTGGCCATCAGAATAGTATAGCCCTGCTCCCCCTCTTTGACCCAGACAGGAATGATGGATGTGTGAAACCGAGAGTAATACCAGCTGTGTTAACACCACCAACACACCAACACCCGAGGCCTGAGCCCCTGCAGAGTCCATGCAGTGTTCAGAGATTTACAGCATCACATTGCCGAGCCCCAAGTGACATGCTTGGCCTGATAAAATGGACTTACACTGCCAGTGACTTCTCCCCAGTGAGGCTCAATCTGGAGGAGGTTATGAAGAGTGGGAATAGGATGGAGAGAAAGGGAATTTTGGCCATTTGCTTTACATTCATCAGAAAGCAGCTTTTAACCGTTTTCTCCAACATGTGAAAGCTCATCCTGTCTCTTTATAAACACACAATGCAGAGGCCTCCCTGGAAGCACAAGGGGTTAAACTCAGAACTATGAAGCTTTTCCTAGCTACTGCAGCATGAATTTGATCCCCAGCCAGGGAGGTGACCCACATGGCACAGCAGACATCTCCTATCTCACCTTCTACTTTCCTCAGCAGTGTTTTGGTACATCTGCCTGTTCTGCTCCCCACTCTATCTCTGGTGAATCCTCTCATACCCCCCCCCACACCTCTGACCTATACCCCAGTTCTTGTATGCATAAATAAATAAATCTTTGAACTAAACACTCAATACACTCAACTGATATCTTAACATGAATTATGTCCTAAGACTGACAGCTACCTGAGCATTACTGGTATTCCTATCACAAGTAGGAATATGTCATGAGGGAATATTTTAGGTTTAGGTGTGGACTACAGTGTCACTTTAACCCAGGAGGAGGCTTCTAACCCAGATCTCTCGGTGCCCACCAGCCGAGGACGCCAAGTCTTTTTGATCAGAGACCACTTCTTCATGAGTGCTGCCTCCCAGGCATCCCCTGGAGTTTAGGATAGAGATTGCATATTTCCTCTTGGTATTTAGATAGTGTAAGTGCTAGTTAAATTTGTTTTCATGCAAGAAAATTTTTTCTTATCTTTAGAATACTGTTTCTTAAGAAAAAAAATCATAGTCTCCACCTCCTCTATTTAAGAAGCTGCTGACACTCATTCTCTCAGCTGCATGCTTGGCTGCTTGGCTCAACTGGACCCACTCTGTTGATTTTCACTTGTAGGACTTCAATTGGAATCTCTGCTTTAAAGGCTCTGATGTGATAGTCTTGATAAAATTGTCAGATCAATGGCATTTGAGTAAAGAACCAACTGAATAACCATGATTTCTGTGATCTATCCAGGTCTGTAATGTTTCTATTTTTAAAGATTTATTTATTTATACATATGAGAACTGGGGTACAGGCCGGAGGTGTAGCAGGTGAGAGACTTCACAAGAGACAGAGTGGGGAGCAGAACTGGCAGATGTACTGAAATATGCTGCTGAGGGGAGCAGCGGGCGGGTCAGGAGAGGTCTGCCATGCCATGTGGTTCAGCTCCCTGGCTGGGGATTGAACTCGTGTTGCAGTGGCTGCAATAACTTCATAGTGCTGTGTACTTTAATCCATTACACCACCAGGGAGGTTACTCTGAGATATTTCCACCAATATCCATGGCTATCCCCAGGTTTATTAGCAAAATGAGTTTATAATAGTATCATCAGCAGAGTTCAAGCATCTGGGATCAAATACCTTTCTGCTGTTGCCTTGCAATTTTAGTCTTCATTAGACTGAAAATGGAAGCCCATTCAGTTGGTTCTACTCTCTTCCCCAAATCTTTCCAACTACATTTTTCTTATATTTCAGGATTCTCTAGCTCTTCTAGACCTTCCAGTAGTGCCCTAGTTTTAATTTCAATCTCCTGTTAAATAGAAGTCTGCAAAGAATCCTTAACGTTCATCCCTACCCCTGACTGAGACAATTAGATGGGACTTTAGAGTGGTTTTTTTTTTTTTTTGATCATATAAAGCACAAACCTTATTTAGCCAACCCATGATTTTCTTATTTCCTCAAAGAGAAAGATAATTCTTTCTCAGGTATAACCACAAACTCTAACACTTTTACTCTGCTTTATAAGCCTCTCCTTGTGCTGCTAAACTGTGACCAAGAATACTTTTGCTCTTAGTACTAGAGCCTGCTGTATAATCTCTTGGTAGCTCTTTGAAATCTTGTACTCGTCATTCAAATTCCACTGACAGTCCACCATAAACTACCAACTCCCCTGACGTGGGAGAAATGGAAATGGAGAATTATAGTTTATGTCAGAGAATAAATAGTTATGATGACCTGAAACAATTCCAGCAGAAGTTTCCCAGTGAATGGCTTGTTGTTTTTAACAAATGAAAATACCCATCCAGATCATGTCGAAGGTGAGAAATGACACACAAATAACAGGGGTTCAAGGCGTCTGGATCTGGCAAATGTCCTTCCAAGTGCAAGTCTAATAGAAAGAGACAGTGAGTGGGCAAGAGAGACAGCGGGAGTGGCAGCCCTTCCCCTATCTGTCTTTGCTCACTAGTCACAATCCAGGAGCTCCCTGCTTTCCTCTAACACAGACAAGCAAGACCCCTCACAGTTTCTTCAGCAGCATGAGAGAATGTAAAAACGGTAGAGCTTTACAAATGTGGGGTATCTCGAGGACTTGTGATAAGCACGTTTATCAGAGTCTAAATTCTGGTTGAATACAGGGGACATCAAACAGTACATTCTTGTCATCTCAGGGTGAGATCTTCCTTGTTAAAAACAAAACAAAACATTTTTAGTGAAGACTGACTTTGAAATATGCGGCCGAAGATAGTCACATCCAATCAGACATGAGAGAGTATCTCTCCCACTGGAGTCCCCATGGGGTGGATTCAACAAATTGCAGAATGATCATGGGAAATATGGATGCATTTTGGTCAAAATTATGTTTCTCCACAAGGTAGTTAGGGATTTTATAGCTAATTTTGTATATGTTGTACATGTTAGAAATGATTGAACCAATTTCAAGTATGCAGTATTGCCATGCTATCCAATAAAAATAAGCCAAATGACCTCACCAGCAGGTGCCTTCACTTGGAATCATGTGTCACAAAATACTGGCTCCAAAAGAAAAGAAAGAAATTATCTAATTCAACCTCTTATTTTAGAGATGACAAAAAATTGAAGCCTCGAAGTAAGTGATTGCCCCAAGTTGCAGAGCTCGTAATCAGGAGTCTAGTCCACTCCACATTTGAGTGCAACATAGGTGCTATTCAAGAGGAGTGATGAAGCATGAGAGACATAAATAAAAATATTTATCCCAGAAAATATGCCCGGGAAAGACAGGTTTTCCCATACTAACTATTTGAAGAGAATTGAAGAAAGAGGGTCCATGTGTATCCCATGTTGTGGTTCTTGCCTGAGTAGCCATTTAAAATGCACTATTCTCGTCTAGAATAAGTAGTTCAACCCAGATGTTCTTGATTTTTGCTTTTCCATGGAGACCTTGCTTCATCAATTAAATATGTGCCAGGTTATTTTAGCATAGCACTGCACCCCCACCATCTATGGTCTCCCCTTATCCATACTGGCACTTCTCTTTTAGTTTAGGACACAGTCCAAGACATTTCCCTGATAGCCCAAATTTTACCTCTTCTATAACACTTTGCTTTCATGGAGTTCCAAAGTGCTATTCCATACCAATGCCTCTATTTTCTAAATCCTATATGTTTTTTAGAATATAATCAAATACTTTTTAATAACTATGAATCATTTATTTCTATGTAAATATTTTGTCACCTCAATGTATTGATGTCATCCTACAGAAAAGGCAGTTTAAACATAAATTTCATGTCTATACATGTTACATGTAACACTGTTACAAATTGTCCAATAACATTTCAAAGAGTTACATAATATAGCAGTAGAGTTACGTAATATAGCAGTATAGAAGCAATCTCAGATAATTAGAACCTTGCTGATAAATCTGTAGCTTGAAAGGGCTGAGCATTTTCCAAATTCCAACTATAATTTCTAATAGTGTGTGGCAAATAATTAGCTTAACATAATCTTTTTTTCTAGAAAGTTTTTCTGGTAGACTCTCATGGTATTTCTTTTTCAAATAGGCTAGCTATCAGATTTAGAGATGGGGGAAGTTGTATAGTTCTGATTCCTTTATAAATACGAACTAGTCCTTTATGATTATTCCTTAATAGTAGAACAGCTCCAAGACAAATAAACAAATGACTGAAATAAATGGGAGGGAACACATATAAGAATGAGAACTGGAAA